TTCACATATACAGAATAGGAAGTGACTATCTAGGAAAGATATGGCAAAAAGAGATATAGGGGTTATAGTGGACCACAAGCTGAATATAAGTCAGCAGTGTGATGCTGTTGCAAAAAAAGCAAACGTGATTCTGGGATGCATTTACAGGTGTTTTAATAAAGACAAATGCAAAGTGCTCCACTTAGGAAGGAACAATCAGTTTCACATATACAGAATAGGAAGTGACTATCTAGGAAAGATATGGCAAAAAGAGATATAGGGGTTATAGTGGACCACAAGCTGAATATAAGTCAGCAGTGTGATGCTGTTGCAAAAAAAGCAAACGTGATTCTGGGATGCATTTACAGGTGTGTTGTGAGCAAGACACGAGAAGTCATTCTTCTGTTCTACTCTGTGCTGGTTAGGCCTCAGTTGGAGTATTGTGTCCAGTTCTGGGCACTGCATTTCAAGAAAGATGTGGAGAAATTGGAGAGGGTCCAGAGAAGAGCAACAAGACTGATTAAAGGTCTAGAGAACATGACCTATGAAGGAAGGCTGAAAGAACTGGGTTTGTTTAGTTTAGAAAAGAGAAGATTGAGGGAGGATGTGATAGCAGATTTCAGGTATCTCAAAGGGTATCATAAGGAGGAGGGGAAAAACTTGTTCATCTTGGCCTCTGCGGATAGAACAAGAAGCAATGGGCTTAAACTGCAGCAAGGGAGGTTTAGGTTGGACATTAGGAAAAAGTTCCTAACTGTCAGGGTAGTCAAACACTGGAATAAATTGCCCAGGGAGGTTGTGGAATCCCCATCTCTGGAGATATTTAAGAGTAGGTTAGATAAATATCTATCAGGGATGGTCTAGACAGTATTTGGTCCTGCCATGAGGGCGGGGGACTGGACTCGATGACCTCTCGAGGTCCCTTCCAGTCCTAGTATTCTATGATTCTATGCAAATGCCTCACCTCCGGTTATACAAAAATCCCTATGTAGTCATTTAGGACAGTTATGTAGTAAATTCAGGATTCACTGGTGTGGCGTCCAAACATGTCTCTTTCTCCAACAGTGATGATAAATTTTCAGGTGCATGCATTCTCGTATGTTCCCTCAGTTTATCCTGACAGCTCTGCACAGAGAGCTAGCATAATAGACTTCAAGAGAGCCCCCAAAGACCACAGACTCAGATTAGATACGAAGGCACCCCAGTCAGGTTTATTGTCAAAGTACATTAATAGTTATCAGTAGCCATGGACTCGGCTCAGTCTATAGTATGAAGCAAAATGCAGGACAATGTAGCACTTTAAAGACTAACAAGATGGTTTATTAGATGATGAGCTTTCGTGGGCCAGACCCACTTCCTCAGATCAAATAGTGGAAGAAAATAGTCACAACCATATATACCAAAGGATACAATTAAAAAAAAGAACAAATATGAAAAGGACAAATCACATTGCAGAACAGAAGGGAGATGCGGGGTGGGGGAGGGGGAGGAAGGAAGGTAAGTGTCTGTGAATTGATGATATTAGAGGTAGGGAGAGTGGGATGTTTGTGAGTTAATGGTATTAGAGGTGATAATTGGGGAAACTATCTTGGTAATGGGTGAGATAACAAACATTTGAACTAGTTAAGGTATATATGGTTGTGACTACTTTCTTCCACTATTTGATCTGAGGAAGTGGGTCTGGCCCACGAAAGCTCATCATCTAATAAACCATCTTGTTAGTCTTTAAAGTGCTACATTGTCCTGCATTTTGCTTCAACTACCCCAGACTAACACGGCTACATTTCTATCACTATTCTATAGTATGAGTTCACTATTGCTCCCTAGGCTGGATAAGGAGTTAAACTGAGGTGCTCCAACATTTATAGATGGAGACAAACAATCTATGATACACACCTTATGTATCATCTTATGCATTAATGACAAGTACAAGGAACTCCCCTTGTATTGTCTTCCAAAGCATTCCTATTCACCACCTATTGTTATGCTTTCACTCCTGATGTATCAGACAAAATATTGCTATTTATCACTTGCTGTCAAGCTAGTTTATCATGTGCTAAATTGGGATGGCCTTGTACTGTCCTGGTGGAACATATTTACATATTTCATGTGCTTTTAGCAGTGCTAGAAGTTCTAGTGCCGAGTTCATGTGCTGGATGCTGACTTGGAGGCAAACATCAACTTTTGACAAGGCCGTTCTTTACTCATAACATAATTCTTGCTTACTTTGGTTCAGGTCTCAGGACTTATACCAGGCCCATGCTTCATGCTCTTTCTTTCTTCTACACCATAGCCCTTTAAAGCTATGCCAAAGTGCGGGTCCTTGTCTGTTGAATACCTTGTATATGAGCCCAACATCTAAAGCCCAAGCTGTGTAAAGGAAATATTCATAGCTGTTCTGATTCTGAATCTGAAATAATATGGACTTTCCTCTCTGAATATTCACATCTACAGACCAAATGCTATGACTGACTCACTCCCACACAAATTAGCTTAATTAACACAAACGACTTCTTCCTTATATATATTCCTGTTTCTGTAACTTCCATTCCATTTCATCCAATAAAAGCTTATGTCCTAATAAATCTGTTAGTCTCTAATGTACCACAAGACTCCTCATTGTTTTTACAGATACAGACAAACACGGCTCCTCTCTGAGATGTTTCTCCAGTGGATTGACTCCAAGATTTTCCCCACCTACCGGACCCTTGCCCAGTGGGCTGAAAGTCCCCTGCTTACCTGAACTATCATTTCTCTTCTTATCAGAAAACAGCAAGTCAATAAGTTGCACCCTTGTCCACTCCTTAATGTTGCATGATCTCTCTCTACATTTCTGCTGACTTTTCTTCAGTTGTTTTTAACTCATTTCCCCCCTCCCCCAACACACATCTGTTTTCTCACTGTTCCTTTCTCTAAAAGGCCACAAGAGTTTTCTTTGTGCTATTTCCTTCAACAGCATTTGCTTTCACTGCTCTTAGCACATATGGCAATTCATCCTGATACAGATCCTACGAACCACCACTATATATGTCACAATTTTAGATTAACTATGCCTGTATTCCACCCTCATAGTCCACCAAGTGCACCCACTGGGGTCCAGCTCCTCAGTCATCACACCTTTCTTGGGTAGACACCCACGTCTCTCTCCCTCCTGACAGGCCATTTTGCAGGCTGCAAAGTTCCTTGCCTACTTTAATATTTCCGGCAAGCCAGACTGCATAAACGGAACAGCTCTCATGCGTCTTTCTCCTTAGAGCAGTGTTTCTCAATGTGGTCCTCAGAACTACTTTGAGAAACCTGCTAACTGGCTGCTCTGTCGTGTTTACTTACCAGCACCACAGAAATGGAGCCTTGCAACTCCCCTTTGCTGCAAATGGTGAACGGGAGCCAATAGGAGCTGTGTGGCTCCGTGGCCATGGTGCCAGTAAGTAAACAAAGCAGAGTGCCAGTTAGCAAGTTTCTCAAAGTGGTTTTACAGACCACTTTGAGACACACTGCTCTAAAGGCTATGAGCAGCATAATTGCCCTCAGTTACAAGTTTCCATACAGCTCTCTGTAAATAATCAAGTGAAACATTAAGAGAAAACATATTCAAAACAATAAAAGAACCTACAAACATGTTTAAAGAGTGAACCCCAATTCCAACTTTGATGTCTGGTCAGTGTCAGTTCTTCAACACTTGGAACTGGGTTTTCCTTGTGTTTACAAGTTCATAACCACCCCAGCTTCAGAATGAGTACAACAGTATATAGTTTGGTCTTTCTTTCACACAACTTTTGCCTTTCTAACTTCATGTATCAGGTGATCAGCAGACAATGTCCCACTTCTCATAGCACAACTTCAAAAGGCTAGGTTTGGGGATTTGCTTGTTTTTTATGTAACTGGTGGCGGGAAATTGGCATTCAACTTCCATTGGGTATTCCCCAGTAAAACCACTCATCACTTTTTGTTCCATAAATCCATTCTTGTCTGGCACATTGTTGAGTATAGTGCTTTGAAACCCAATTTCTCATATCTGTCCCATCTCCCTCTTTAACAGATAACAAACAAATTATTTTAATACAGTGGACTTCAAAGACACTTAAACTTAATTCAGAAAGGTCTCCCAAGGATATGGCAAGAAATTGGTATACCTGTCACTCAGAGATAACTAATTCCCATGTTTCCACACACTACTTCAGCAGTGTTCTCTGCTTCATCAGAAGAAATCTCCACTATCTCTAGGGTTTGATCTTGCAAGATACTTGTCTTTAACCATGTGGAAAGTTTCTGTCAGTATTCAAATGCTTAATTGCTTTCCTGGACCAACATCAAAGTGCTCGTCACCTTGCAGGTTGAGGCCTTCTAGACAGAAAAGTAATTGAGATTGAATATTGGACTTCTCCTGAACCAATTACAGCTATTATGAAGCAGTTTTCTGATTTGAATTGGTTGTCATTAAGAATTTAACCACTGTCTTATCACTAAACTGGTATTAATTAGGAGTACTGGGAGGACTAAGACGACAGCTTTATATGTCAGTATCCAGTTCTTCATAAACTATATCACTCAAACTCACTTTGCTATAGAAATAAATATTTTAGTGTGCATTAAATAAAAATGAAAGAAACAGATTATATTATGCAATATAGGGCATATATCGAAGCTATTTCCATGTTTCTGTGGAGCTGTGCGAAGTTCCTTGTATAAGTATTAGGAAGTATAGTTATAAGGCATTCCAGTCCCAGGGTATTACAGAGACAAGGTGTACGAAGTAATATAATTTATTATATGAACTTCTGTTGGTGAGAGAGAAACTTTCAAACCACACAGAGCTCTTTTTCAGGTCTCAGAGTACTTTTTTCACACCTTAACAAGAGCTCTGTGGGACTCAAAGGCTTGCTTCTCTCTCACCAACTGAAGTTGACGCACTAAACTGTATTACTTCACCCACATTGTCTCGCTTGTGTATGTACTCTTTTTGTTTTTTGCACCCTATTGCTAACATTTCACAGTGACATTCAATTCGTCATTTTTTCTAGAGATTATCACTCTTGTGGATTGCCTTCAGAAAATGAATGAACTCTTTCTGGATACAGTTACCCAAATTCAAGAGGCAAACAACAAACTGTATGATATTAGATGCAGACATGATGCTAAAACTAAATCCCAAATTGTTCCAGATGTTTCAATTGAAATAGATGTGTGTGAAATAGAAAAGGCACATTCTGGGCAAGTATCTGCTGGTGTAAGTCAGCCACCCCAGGTAACTTCTCCCATGATTGGAAGGGAAAGTCTGAATATTGACCAAGTTCAATCAAGTGAAAACAAAACAGTGGAAAAAGAAACCACTAAATCATTAAGGGAAAAAAATTCTGATCAAGAACAAGCAGTAAGCAGAGATCCTGTAAAACAAATGGGAAATGAAGATCACAAGCTGCTACAGAATTCACTTGCAGAGCAAAAAGATTACAACAGAATGGAGGAAAGTCATGGAACAAGGTATTATAATAATAAAGGCCCAGATAAAGCTTTGCAAGAAGTTCCCAGGAGCAATGGAAATGATATTCCTGTATCTGGAAGACCTGAAAATATTGGTGACAGCTCCATAACCAATCTTTCTGAACAAGAGCAGGCATTAAATGAAGAACCCCCAACCCAGATGGAATATGAAGATCACAAACCAATAGAGAATTCATGTGAAGAAAAGAAAGAAGAGAATATAAAGGATGAAATTAATGAGATTCCTGGGAGCAACACAAACAATACAACTGCATTTGCAAGGTTGGAAAATGTATGTAATGCACCTGCGATGAACCTTTCAACAAATGGTTCAGAAGAAGTGGAAAGATCAAGTCCCTGGATGAACAAAGAGTAAGTGTACTATTTGTAAACACACATCTGTGTGTGCACTTCAGACCTGGACATACATAAAGGGCAGTTCACCCTTTAGTGTATAAACATAATAAAAATTTGGCCCTGAAGATTTTAAGGTAGCTTCCTGAAATCATGAGCACATAAAGGATCAGATTCAAGACTTATTGAAATTAGTAGAAAGATTTCATTGACTGATTTCAATAAGCTGTAGATCAGGTCCCCAAATTAGGCAGCTTTCCAGTATTGTGTAGTGTTTAAATTTTGAATCAGTTGCCACTTACATTTCTCTAGGCCTATGCACTAGTTAATGCAAGGTTTTACTGATGAGTTCCCTATGTTTTATAAAAAAATGAACAGATAGATAATTTGGATGTATTGATTATTTAAATACAGTAAAGAAATACAGTAAAGATATCTATAAATTGCTTTATTTCTTATAAGACAAACAAAAAAGCCAGGATAGTAATACTGTGTATTTGTCTGCAGATATCTCACAGAAGCGAGTGGTAAGATAGAACCTGAAGTTGCCTGTTATATAACTGCACCTTCCATCATTCTAGAAAATTTAGTATGCAGGGTCATCAATGACATGAGTTCTTTGGTGGTAGAAGATTCTGAGGAGCTGGTCAGCAATGTAATCAGCATTGAGTACTTAGACCATGACAAAGATATCCCTTTTCCTATCAGTATTGCAATACCATTCACTGCACGCTACAGAGGAAATTATCGAGACATCACGGTGAAGATGACCAATATGAACTTTCAGTCAAGTTACTTAACTCCCATTTCTTTTGATGGGTACCAGGGAAACCAGAAGGTCGGTGAATTTTTATTTGAGTATTATGAAAGTGTCCATTGTTAAGGTCAAGTTGAATTTTTCAGTTAAAGCAGTTAGCCATGCTTTGTGTCATGAATTCATAGATTGCCATGGTTACCTAAACACAAAGACCCACATTTTCTAAAGTGACCACTAGCTTTAGATGCCCCAAACTTCTGGTGCTAATAGGGACGGTCCGAGCCATTCGTGCGCCCTGAGCTCCGGGAGCGCGGCACAGACCCTGGGAGTGCGATGCATGCATGGCCCCGCCTCTAGGCACCTGGCACCCCCGGACCCCAGGTGCCCAGTTCATGTGCAGCCCCATTCCCACCTGGTCTGGCAGCCATGCGCGGTGCCCCCTACAATGGGGCGCCCTGGAGGGTAGCCTGGTCAGCCCGTAGCGTGGGCCGGCTCTGGTGCTAATTTACACCCTCCCCAGAACAACCCACAAGATAGGGAAGCATAAAGGTGGCCTAAAATTGCCTATCCTCCCTCATCCCTCAAGTGGTTCAGAGCATAATTAGTTAAATGAGGATTTAACCTGATTTTTTCTAGATTAAATTGAATTTGTCTCTCCAAGATTCCCCATGGTTGATTGGATACAAAACTCACTAGTTAACACCTTCTCTTTTCAGGAACATTCATTAGAGAAGTGCTTTGCCCCACAATACAGATTACACCACAGATTTGTTTGTTTTAAATGTGATCATTTGTGTGAAGTTGATAGTTTTTTGGTAAATGAAATAGGTGAAAGAGGAAAAAGAAATTATTTTGCATTTAACCTAAAGAATAACAATTATATCTTCATACATCCACCTTCACACTCTCAAAACCTAGGATGGAAAATTTATTCACAATGCTGAGCCTTATTCACCACTGGGTCTCTTCAATTATGTGTTATATGATTCCACTTCCTTCAATGTAATACAGTAGGGAACCAGGCTGTCAAAATGGTAATAACATTTGAGTTATTTTCATTTTGTTTGTCAGACTACAGTTAGTTCATCTACCGTAAATGATAATCCATTAACAATTGTAGCATCATTTTCTTCCACAAAGGTGACCTTTGCAGAGGTGAAAATTTGTCAGCTTGGTATTTTTTCTGTGGTGTCATGCTTAAAAAAAGAAACATTCATCATTCCAAAGAAAGGGCTCTCACAAAAACTAAGCATGGATTCTAGAATCTCTTTCTACTACCATCCAGAAACATTCAGTTCTCCAGTGATCATGCAGTCAAAGGTAAGTGTGAAATATTCATAGTTTTCTTCATATCATTTCCATGTCACATGAGTAGTTCCAAAGAGAAATCCATCATGATGATGAAAGCCTCCAAACAGTGTTCTACTGTGGTTCCACTGATTAGAAAGCAGGGTAGCTATGTCTTCATAACAGACCTGTACTTCATAACAACTCCAAAGAGACCAATCTGAAAGGAGGCTAGGGTAGGGTGAGGTTTTGACCAGGACATCTACAATTATATGAATCCAGTGCATACAGAGATGTTTGGGTTACAGCCCAGTGGCTCATGGGCAGGGATAAGGGCCAGCTAGACACATGAGACTTGCCTGATATCTGCCTCAAAGGGAAAGGTGAATTCCAATCCTCTGCAGTTTTTGTGAAGTTCCCCAGAAAAAAGCTTGCCTACTTCAGCTTTACATGTGAGTGTTTCACCACTGTGAGCAAGGAAATCAAAACTATGTAAAATGGATCTGTTCATCTAAAGCTTGATGTAAGAGCAAAATATATTGTTAATGTTTATTTCACATTTTGAGAAGATTAAGAAGGCCACTCACAATACATTGCTCACCTTTATGATTAGCCTTTCTACAGAGCAGAGCCCTTCAGGAATAATAATAACTTCATTAGCATAAGCAGGCAGACTTTATGTGAAGGTGTCCAATATGTATTTGAAAGAGGCCAGTCACTTCTTTTTGAGTGGTAGCAAAAACATAGTTAATATTTGTTAAAACTATTCAGTGTCATAGTAAACACATCATCTGCACTAATAGGCTATGTCTACACTACAAGATTTTTGCGCAAAAACAGCAGAGAATTCACACCTCAAGTGCATTTTTGCACAAGAAAATCGACAGAAGAGAGGGCTTTTGCCAGTGGAGTTATTCCTCTCTCTGCAAGAAATAACTCCTTTTTGCACTATAGCTGTTGTGCAAAAAGGCAGGTGTGAATGCTCTGGAGGTTTTTTGTAAAGAAACCCCTATTGGCAAAAGCACAGGTGCACTAATGGCCATTTTGAGAATGGCAATCAGAGATTTCTTGCGCAAGAGTGTCCATGCAAGAGTGGACACTCTCTTGCACAAGAGCACATCGCTTTTGCGATGAGCTTTGGGGTCTGGATCCACTTTTACTCAAGACGTTTTTGCGGAAGATCTCTTCTGCAAAAGGCTTCTTGCACAAAAACTCTGCAGGGTAGGCAAAGCCATAAATGGAGCAGTAGCTATTTGTATGCTTGCTATGTCTGGGAGACAAGTTTTTTTTTTCAACAACAACAATAATTATTATTAAAAAATCTGCACAGTACATTACGTTTTTGGGTCAGGTAGTGGTTGTATTCTATGGGGTAAATTTTCTATGCTCTGATTCATTCCATTTGTGATAGTCTGTCAGAGCCAAGGAGGAGTCTTTTTCTTGTAAATCAGTGGTCCTGAATTATGGGGCATGCTCCACCACAGGGGCACTTGGGAATTTTTTTGAGGGGTGGCAGAGCCCAAGGCTACCCGGAGGGGGGCAGGTTGAAAGCCACCTTGTCCCACTGCACCTCCAATCCTATCTTCAGCTCCACATTGCCTCAAGTCCAGCTGTGTCTCCAGACACAGCTCCACTCTGACCCCAGCTACAGTTCTGAGCTGCCCCCCTGACTACCTTATAGCTTCCTCATCCTCAGCCTAGCCACAGCTCCATTTCATCCCCTGCTTTTGCCTATAGTCCTGTTCTACCCTCTGCCAAGCTCCAGCCCCACTTCTGCACAGTCTCAGCCCAGCTCTGACCACAGCTGCAGCTCCACTCTTCACCCTACTCCACCCCCAGCCCACCTCTGTCTTCACTTCCTCTCTGCCCCAAAGCCATCTCCTCTTCTAGCCCCAGCTACTCCTCCATCCCAAATTCTGTCCCCAGCTGTGCAACAACAGAGAGTGGGTCCAAAGAGTTTTGATTACTGATAAGAGGGGGCATGACAGGAAAAGTGTGGGCGCCACTACTATAAGTCATAGGCTGGAATACCTCATTGTGTGAATGTCCCCAGCAATAAACCAATACAATCTGTTCCTATACCTTCCTCTCTGAAGACATAGGCACAGAGGGTATTTCAAGGGTGGGAGATCAGGAAAAGCAGGACTATAATATGCCTCAGATATTCCCAGAGGATGTATTGCTTGTATGAGATTATAACCAGTTGGTTTAAAGTTAGAGAAATGGAAGGCAGTTATATTAGGGACAGAGAATCTGGGAGATAAATCTTGCTACATTATAGCTTCCCTGTTCTTTTACATCTAGATCTGACCATATGTGTGCAAATCTATGTAATAATTACTTTTAATAATAATGATAGAAATACTCTTGTCCTCTTCTGCATCCTTTCTAAAGCAAAATTCCCAGTGTAGGCCATATGAGTTTAATCGAAGAACCTCAAGATTTGGCCAACCTATCAAATGCAAATGAAAACATTAACACATTAAACCAGAGAACTAGCATGAACTTTAAATCTATAGCAAATAGAATGTGTATAAAATACTCATAAACATTAATATAAGAATACAGGCAAAGATATTCTACCTTCCAATACAATTAAGCACAGCAATTAGAGTCCAAATTACTTAATTAATTATGGCAGCAGTTTCTGATGACACTGTTGCAAAGTGTTGGTTGCGCTCAGGATAAAATGATAGAGAAAAAAGAAGAACTTTAGGGTGCGTCTACGTTGTGGCATTATTTTGTGTCTTGAAAGCATGCCCATTCAAAATATCTTTTGAAATAACAGGTACGCTATTCTGATGTCCCTATAAAGCTCGTTCCTCGAGGATTAAGAGACATTTCAGAATTGCAGTTTATTTCGAAATTTGACTAAATACGCTATTTTGAAATTAACTCACAATAAGCTATGAAGTTTGTGTAGCTCAAATTGCATAGCTTATGTGAGCTAAGGATGTAGTGTAGATGCACTGTTAGAGAATTAAAGAAAAAAATCTAGATGTTATCAATTAAAAATTGGCAAGAGATTTTGTGAAATATAACTCTTCCAAAAGTTAAACTAAAATGATTTTTAAAAGCAATTTTGTTTTATTACTTTTAAATTAATTACTCTATCACTTCCTACACATAGGTCCAGCCAATTGAGCCATCACTGGTTTCCTTTTTAAAGGCAAAATATGACATGTACCATTCAGTAGTTTCTACGAGTCCACTGGTTCATATCCAGCATCTTTCATCCGAGCCATTTAACAAGGAAGTCAGTGTTATTCTACCCTGTCCCCCAAATTCAGAAAAAAGGAAACCGGGAGATTCAAGAGAACATGGAAGAACATCTAGTGCCACTGTCACCAGTGTTGCAACTGCATATCAGCTTCGGTAAGTGAGAACTTCTACCACCAATTCCAGCAAGATCAAAACGTCAAAGGAACTAGTCCTGACTAACCATTTTTATATTTAAATGTATCCTTCACCTTAAAATGTTGTGGCAGTGTCTTCTTCAAAAATATAGTGAACCAAATCTTCAACTGCTGTAAAATAACATAGCTCCACTGACTTCTAACAACCTCCCTGACCCACACCAACTGGAGATTTCACTCAGCATTCTTAGCAGAAGATGGTAAAAAAGAGACATTTATAGAAAAGAAGACTTTAAGCGTTTTCATTTTATTTCAGACCAGATTTTGCCACCTTCAGTGGTAACTTACTTCATGAGAAGTCCAGAATCCAGAACAATATAAGTCATAATTCTTAATGTGTAGTTGCAGTCATGTCCAGGATTCATCCTTTAGTGCTGTACACAGTTGAGTTTATTTCCTAGCAGAATGAACCAAAAAGATCCTTTCAAAATTTATTATTACCCACTCAATGCTTCTTCATGGCCATTAACGATAACAAGTACAATGGGAAACATAAATAATCCAAAGGAAGAAGTATCAATGTTTCCAGCTGCATAGGACAGCATCGTTATCATGGGCAGGTGGCCAGCCTGATCTCTGGGCTCTACTCTAAAAAGTGAGAAGGTTATGTGGGTCAAGAATTTCAAAACCTATTGATTTTTTGTGCCTTAGTTTTATAGTGTCCAGTACTACCCAGCTTGATCAGAGGGTGAAGACAAGCACCATACCATCATCTGAAAATCAATCTCCTCCCCACTTTAGAAAACAGAGGCAACTATAAACACTAGTCACTTTTGGTAACTTTTGGGGTTAAGATAATAAGAAGAGTAACTGTTCTAACTGTTTACTTCTGGAAACCTCCTTTGATTACTTGGGGACATCCCTAAGAGTGTGTGAGGCTCAGCCTGTATGGGACCTGCTGGAGCAAGGGGTGCACTGGGTCTTCTGGAGGGTCTGGGGGGCACTGGGGCATGGGACATGCTGATGGAGGAGATGGGGTTCCAGCTGCAGCTGAAGAGGCTTACCTAGAGCAAGGTATTCCCATTGGTGGTTGGAGGTTCCTGTTTGCTGGGTGACACTGCTGCTCCCTGCCCAGCCTGGAGTGCACCTCCACATACCCTGGCCTCCACTTTCAAATAATGGTGGGGCTGGGTTGAGAGCATGGGATGGGAGGGGGGTAGCTATATGTGCAGCACCATACTGCCAGAACTGCCATTGGTCCAGCAGGAACCCAAGATCAACGGGAGGAGGCAGGGACTGCATGATCCATGCACAGGTGCTATGGGGGAACCTATCTGTCTGTGTGACAGCGAGAAACACAGCTCCAGCCCCACCGAGCTCACAACCTTCTCCTTCCCCCAGACCATTCTACCAAGCCAAATGGTCTGAATTGCAGGGGGAAGCAGGACAAGACACATTATGCTGCCTTGTGCTTACTGGCTGCCTCTGCCTGCTCTGCTCAAGGCAGGGAGCTGCTGCCTTCACCGCATCTGACATTGTGCAGTCAAAGCGTGGGGCTCCCCACAGTGCAGAGCCCAGAGCAGTCACCTCAATTTGCCTTATCCAGGGGATGGCTCTGAGATCACTTTATGGAAAGGATTTAGTCTCATTCTAATCCCGTCTAGACCCTCATTCTCATCACACATCCAGCCTGTGATTTAGCAAGGTTGATCATGGCCACTTGGAGAAACTTCCAAACTCTTATCCTGTAGCAAGGGAGCTGGATGGTGCACCAATGCTTGCATCTCATCTATCCACACTTAGGAATGCTGTCAGCCTACAGCTGTGTAAACTACATGAGTTGAACTTCAGAAGTACTTGAATTTTTCCTAGATTGTCACCTGAAGGGTACCTGTAACTCACTTCAAAACATAGATTCTGTTATTTGAAGACCCAGGATTTTTCATTACTTGAGTTAGTACAAATATATCTGTAAGGCAAAACAGAGTTCAAACTAAAATGTCTCAGACATAGGGAATAACTTGAGTCTGTCCCCTACTAACAATGAGCCACATGACTTTAAACTCATCTCTCCCTGCCCCCCATACAGTACATAGTCTTCAAAGCCTAGACTAACTCAAAATAAAATAAACTGCAAGGTTTTTTCCCCTCTTATTCCTAGTACTTTGAACCATTTTATGCTTAACCAATAAATGTGTTAGAACTCTTTAAAGCATAAGCTTCTATCACACACATACAATGCAGAGCAGAGACTCAGGGCCTATACAAAACAGGGCTCAATTAAAACATCTATCCTATGTCACAGCAACCACAGCCACCAATTGAAGAGAGTACCCAAAAATTATCACCTCTGGGGAAAACAGGTAAGGTGGAAAGTAGTTTGTCCAAAAAGTTAAACCACTGAATTTACATATCCATGAAACATTGTGCAGTATCTATAGAATCAGATGTACACTCTTATGCTTTCTTCATATGTCTGCAAAATTTATCTGGACACTTTTTATCGTGTATGTAGGCTTTTTTCCAGAACACTTGATTTCCCACTACTCTACTTGAAGTCCATAGGAGGCAGAGCTCAGCTTTTCTGAAAATCAGGCCCTTAAACTTCAAGTTTTGAATATAGGGAGTGCAGTATCTATAGAATCAGATGTACACTCTTATGCTTTCTTCATATGTCTGCAAAATTTATCTGGACACTTTTTATCGTGTATGTAGGCTTTTTTCCAGAACACTTGATTTCCCACTACTCTACTTGAAGTCCATAGGAGGCAGAGCTCAGCTTTTCTGAAAATCAGGCCCTTAAACTTCAAGTTTTGAATATAGGGATAGTCTGAGTCTGTTCCCTGTGATCTGACAGTTCACCAGAAACTATTTTAGTCTTGTTCTTCCTTGAGAAGTAGCCTTTCTGCTGAGGTCTCTGATCTAAATTAATGGTGCACAACCTTTTTTCCAACGCAACCCCTGGAAAAATTTTGGTTGAGAAAAGAAAAAAGAAAAAGTGGTCCCTTTAAATGCTGTTCCACTCGCCTGCTGCTCCCCCACCTCGTGTACATCAAGCTGGTAAAAAAAAATGGCGGTCCCCCCGCTCCCCAAAAGACAGCCACTGATCTACACGAAGTCAAAAATAAACCACATACCTGAGTAGCTGTGTTTCTCTGGCTCTGATAAACAGCATTTTAGTGTTATTGTCTGCAAGTTGTTAACTGTCTTACTATTAGTTTATATTTTGAGTCACATAAGCATAATAGCTAGTTTTGGAAGGTTTATATTATTTCTCTCAAGATCAGACTTTTGGTTTTCCACTGGGCTAAGGCACACTTCCACTTCTTGTGAATCAGTACAAATCAAGTGACCCGGTCAAAAGCAAATCTTGATATAAGTTTTGCTATATATTAGACAACAAGACTTACTTGGCATTGCTCAGGTCATTAACTCAATTTTTGTTTTTCTTCATTTACATTATTGCTCTGAGATGGGGCTGAGGATGGGGGGTTCAGTATGCAAGCTGCCCTCTCTCACTACACCAGCTTGGGGTCATGGGAGAAACATTGCTCTGTGGCTGCTGCAGCATGTCCCTTGGCTGGCACAAGTCCAGGTTCAGCTGGCCCCTGAGCTTCCCAGCTAGAGCGAGGAATGCAGCAAACTGTGTACTTTTCACTCATTCCATGACAAAGAAGAACAAGCAGCATACAAAATCAGGGGAGGGGCTTCAGCCTTCCTGCCCTCTCTAAAGACACCTGGGAGGGGGAGGCTCAGAGATAGGGTAGTACCAGATGGCAGGGGCGGCAGGCTTGTATAATTTTTGGTGTTGTCCCATTAGCCACATCCCCAACCCCCATTAGCCAGGCCTCTGGAAGTAACCCGCTCAGGGGAAGATGGACACATGACCATAAGTAAAAGGTGTCATGTCACCCCTCTTGAAGGACTTTTCCCACCATCCTCCTACCAACAGGGATTAGTTTGGCCCCCACCAAACGCTGCTCATGCAACTATCCTGCAATTGCATTAACCCAGTGTGTGTGACATTAACCCTGGGGGCAGAGAGGCTGGGGGAAGTGTTCCCTCTAAGGCTATGTCTACACTTGTGGCTTCTTGTGCAAGTACAGCTGTTCTTGTGCAAGAACCCAGTAAGGGTGGTGCTTACCAGTTAACAGCCTTTAACCATTCACACCCCTACACATCTCAGGTTGCTACAATTCATCCTGAAGGATGCTGAAGATCTTGCCCTCAGATCTATGCACACTGCATTGCTGGCACTGTTGATGTTTGTAACTTTGATCTCATGGACACTTGAGGACAAATTCTGCTTCATGTTAACTAATGAATCTTCTGGGGGATAGACGTGTTCCTTCTAGGGATGTTAGCGTCTAGTCGACTCTTCAGTAAGCAGGAGCTTATCAATTAGCACACCCCTGCCTCTTTTTCCCTCTTTTTCCCTGATACCCACCCCTCACCACCCTCTACCCCCATTCCCCTCATGCTCCTGTGCCCTCACACATGACTTACTCCATCCCTGCCTTCCTCATGCCACCCCTTCTTTTAAGCCTTCTCCCAGCACCTCCTCCTTCCCCCTCTAGCTCCCAATGCCCTTACCCTCTCCTCTCCCAACATCACCCTGTCCCCCCTCCCACTGACACCTCCCCTCCTGCCCTTTTCCTCATTGTCTCCACTTGGCCCCCTGGAATTTGTGAGTCTCCATTTGGCCACCTGGCATTTGTCTCTCCTCTACCCTGTCCCTTGGTACCTTTCCCTTTCCTCTCCTGACCTGCCCCACTCCCCTCAGCACAAGCCCCTTCCTCTCCCACCCTTTACCCCTATTTTTCCCCCTCCCCATCTCCCCCTCTCCTCCCCACCCAAATTTCTTCCTTCTGGTTTGCAGCGCTGGAGTCTGTGATCGGGCCCCAGCTGCTTCCGGAGCTCCAGAACACTTGCTGGGCCTGGAGCTGGGTCACAGGGTGCAACTCTGGGCCGCACGGTTTTAAAGTCCTGGGCCATGACGTCACACCACACCCAGGCATCTCCCCTCTCAGCTGTTGCGTGGCATTCCAGCATGCCACGCGTGCATTCCCTCCACCCCACAGTGCCCCCCGTCGGGAAATTTAAATTGCAGGGCTGCGGCGCCCCATCATAATCTCCCTCCTTCTCTAGAAGCCGCCAGCTGGCCCTTCAGTCCTTCAGAAGATGAGATCTGCTCCAGGCAGGGCCGGGGGAGAGACCCAGCTCCAAATATTGGTGGAGCAGGGCCCCCGGCTCTGAATATTCCTGGAGCATGGGCACCATGAGCCCATATAACTTGCCACCTATGCCAAATAGGGGAAGTTTCCCATACAAATCAGGGAAGGGGGCTTCAGCCCCTCCCCCCAACCTCTTTAAAGATACCTGGGAGGGGGGAGGCTGAGGACTTGGCCAGTACTGGGTGGGGGAGATGCCCCCAGCCAGTCCCTTTTACCTGCCTGGTGATTCTGTCTCTTTTCTGTTTGATTTTATGAGAAGTAATTCCATTCCAGGTACATCCCATTTTCCTGGCACAACCAATCTTTACCTTGCTTTAAGTTATGATAACAGGAAGCAGTATTCTGAATTTGGTAGTCCTAACTTTTACCATTTAGGAGGCATTCTTGAACAGACAGACAGCTGAATATATGGAGACAGACAGACACCCAGGAAGACAAACTCTCACAAATATATAGGTTAACTACATTCATATGAATATGAACCTTTCCAAATTACAGAGCCTTAGTATCCTGTTCATACATACCATTTTCTAGATGCAGGTTTTCAGTAAAAGCCAAACCATCCCAAACGGTCTGCAGTTAGGCAGGTAAAAGAGAAAGGAAAAGACACTGTTACAACACAAGTACTTAATAGCCATAGAGCTTTATTTTAACCTTTGTAATGATTTCTCATGTCCCAGATCAATGAGTGTGTCGATGAGAAAACATGGAGAGAATCTCAGTGAATCCTTGAAATTATTGGGTTACAGAAACAAAGAAGAGGAATGGATTGTGCATAATGAGGTTATTGTGCGGAATGTACGGAATGGACTTGTATCATTTGAAGTAGATGAGTGTTTAGAAAGGTAACATAAATAACTGAATTAAATTATTTGGGTAAAAGATTCGTATCCAAATTGATGAATGGGATCTTACTATAGTTGAGAAATCATTCACTACAAATTATTTTATTTGCCAAAGTTAGGCTCTACTAGTCTGTTAATGTTTCATGAGATGCTGATGACTTTCTTAGATTTGTTATGAATAATTATGCCAAAATGTAAATTTTGGTAAATCATTTTTCATCTGCATATTGTATATTTGACATTTGAAATTTGAGTTATAGTAATTAATACT